AGTCTAGCACATTAACCTACGGTGCCACACCAGGACTCCATTTAAAGACCTATATTTACTTTAATAAATATAGGTCTTCAAAATGCTAGAAATGCTTTAACTTTTTATACTTTTTCATCTAAACTGGTTGACCTATCAGGAAAAAGAAAGCATTTTGTCAGTCATCTATTTCTGTTTTTTATTTGGAAAAATATGGTATACATGTTGCTGTTCACTATCAAATTGTTTCTGACTCAGGGGGACCCAGTATGACAAAGCAGAACTGCCCAATAGGGTTTCCTCTGCTGTAATGTTTCTAGGAGCAGGTCAACAGGTCTTTTCTCCTAAGGGGCCACTAGTGGGTTCAAACCATTTGCATTTCAGTTAGCAGCTAAGTGCTTGACCATTGTGCAACCAGGCCTCCTGTGGTACCTGTGTTGTTGTTGTTGTTGTTAAGTGCTGTCTTAATCAGTTCCAACTTATAGTGACTCTGTATAGAGTTTTTGAGGAGGGGCTGGTGGATTTGAACCATGGACTTTGCAGTTAGCAGTCCAGTGCTTCTCCTGTGTGCCATCGCAGCAGGACTCCTATAGTGAGCTCCAATCCCAGCCTGGTTTTATAAAGCTTCCAGCTTTCTTCCAATGGATAAGGGATGGACCATAGAATTGGATAGATTCTTCTATTGGACCTTCTTTTTTGTTCAACTCTGAATGCTGAGATTAGATGGAACTAGAATGAGCTTTCAGATGTGGGAAGATGCAATTGTGCTTTTGTGGTTTTTGTAAATATATTTTTGGACTGGGAGCTCCTGGGCAGCAGACAGAGTTGGACCAGAGAAGCCTGAGGAGTTAACGAGAAGGAAAAGAGGCATATTGTCTGACAGGGACAAAATGTCTTTTGAAACCTGAAGCAATATTCCTGCATCAAGACTGAAGGACTCTGGAAGACAAAAATGAATAGACTTGTGAATTCATGAGTTGTCATGTTAATATCAACATTTAAATTACCTTACATAGAATGAGGGAAGTGTAGCCTTTGAAATACATGTAAAATCCTCTGACATTTTCTGAGTGTAGCAAACTTTAACACTTAGAGTACCAGTTAGATAACCTGGCATCTTTCAATTTATTATGTAAGTTCTTCAGAAAGAAGAGAGTACTTCACAAACCTCAGGTTCATTAGATCAAACACAGTTCCACAAGCATCTTGTAATTTTCAGGGAGTGGAGAGGATGCAGAAGTGGATGCTGGCCTGGTTCATCTGGTGTCTGTGCGAGGCCTGGAGGGAAGAGACTCCACCAAATGTTCCCTGGATTTTTTGTAGCAATGTCTCTATTATAATTTTACATTATGATAGTACCTAGTGGTGCTGTCATGATCCACACAGTTGAAAGCCTTTGTGTAGTCAAATCAGGATTTGAGGAAGGCTCATAAACAATCTGTGATATGCAGATGATACTACCTTGCTTGCTGAAACCAAGAGGACTGAAAATACTTATTGTTGTAGACCAAAGACCACAGCCTTTAGTATAGGCTGCACCTCAATGTAAAGAAAACAAAAATCCTCATCACTGGACCAATAAATACATCCGTATAAATGGAAAAAAGATTGAAGTTGTCAAAGACTTCATTTTGCTTGGATCAACCATCAACACTCATGGAAGCAGCAGAAATCAAACTACATATTGCACTGGACATATCTGCTGCACAAGACCTCTTTAAAGTGTTGAAGAGCAAAGATGTCAGTTTGAGGACTAAGGTGCACCTGACCCAATTCTTGGTATTTTCAATAACCTCATATGAATGTGAAGCTGGATAGTGATTAAGGAAGACCATAAAATAATTGATGTGGTTGAGTTATGGTGTTGGAGGAGGATTTTGAAAGTACCTTGGACTGCCAAAAGAACCAACAGATCTGTGTTGGAAGAAATACAGCCAGAGTGCTCCTTGGAAGCCAGGATCGTCAGACTTGGTCTCTCATACTTTGGACATATTGTAATGCAGGACCAGTCCCTGGAGAAGGATATCATGTTTGGTAAAGTAGAGGGTCGGAGAAAAAGAGGAAGACTCCCAACGAGATGAATTGGCACAGTGGCAGCAGTGATGGGCTCAGGCATAGCAACAATTATGAGGTTGGTCCAGGATCGGGCAGTATTTCTTTCTGTTGTGCATAGAGTCGCTGTGAGCCACTATGTACTTGAGGTCACCTAACAATAACAACAACAACAACAACTGGTGCTGTGGGCTTAGGTATTGGGCTAATAACCACAAAGTCAGTGGTTCAAACCCACCAGCCTCTCCAGGGGAGAAAGAAGGCACTCTGCTTCCGTAAAGTTTTATTGTCTCAGAAACTCTGTGTATGATCGTTGAGAACTGGAATCGATTCGATGGCAGTGGGTTTGATTGTGATTTTGGTTAATATTCATGGCACATTTCTGCATGTCACTGGAGCTTTCTCACTCAAAATATTTTAATAATGGAAACATTTAAAAGGATACTTATATTGGACTTACAGAATTTGCCTTTTCTTGGGTGTTTGTGAACTGGTTTCATGAATACATTTGATAGCTAATATTTTGCTTTTGTCTGATTTTTTTTTTTCCTTCTGCAATTCTCAGGATAGTTGATTTGTCTGTTGGCTTGTTTCTTTGAAACAAACTGTCAGATGTCTTGTTTTTACTAAAGGCTTAAGATGTGTGACGTATCCTTAAAGACATGATTTTTTACAATTAAATGTTCTGAAACAAAAAGTGAGATATATATATCATCTGCACATATATTTCATATTTTACGTGGACAGTCAGTACATTCTCACTGTGCCAAGATTGCATATAATTTCTTGAGTTATTTTTAATTGAAAAAATTACTTTTTTATTTTCCTTTTCCTGTAGAAGAACTTCCTCATTGGGTACTGTCAGCTATGAAGTGTTTGGCAAATTGTAAGTACTAATTACCTACCAATTTTATAAAATTAACAGTAATTAGTGCCCTGAATTGGAAAATATTTTTGCATAATGGCCTCAGCACTGATTTGAAACTGTGATACTGAGAGTTAGCTATTTGGAATGAAGTACTATGCTTTAAGGAACCCTGGTAGCATAGTGGATTATGAGCTGAGCTGCTAACTTCAAGGTCAGTAGTTCGGATCTGCCAGTCACTTCATTAAAGAAAGATGAGACTGTCTGCTTCTGTAAAGATTTACAGTCTTGGAAACCCTATACGGGGTTGCTATGAGTCAGAATTGACTCGATGGCACATCACCACCCCTGTGCTTTTTATCACCACCACTATGGTGGCTCCATACCATAAGCACTGGACTACGGCCCACAAGGTTTTTGGTTTGAGCCCACCAGCTGCTCCCTGGGAGAAGATGAGGCTTTCTGCTTCCACAAAGATTTAAAGCCTCGGAAACCCTGTGCAGGGTCACCGTGAGTCAGAGATGACTCCATGGTACTTCATAGCAACAACTATGCTTTTATTGATAAATTTATTTGTGGCTTAATGAAAGGACTGAGTTATAGAAAGTTTTTAATGAAATTTAGTGCTTGCCCTTTCTAGTGGATGCCATAACACTGCAGATATAAAATCTATACTATCTTGTCTTATTGCTTCACCATTCGAAAAAAGGACATTAGTGATATTGCATGTGATATTATAACAGATATTGCCTGTTAACAGTTTACATAGATTCCTAAGGATCCCCTGCATTTATTTTTATATCAGTTTTTATGTGTTTGTATTTATATCCATTTGCTCAGCAGACCTTGACTAGTATGGGATTTTCATGGGTAATATTTTAAGTGGGAGAGTGATGTTTTGGAAGACTGATATGATGGGTTTGGAAGGAAACGAACCTACATGAAGAGATCCAAGAAAGGCTGTTTCTGTGATTTGGATGTAAGATGAGGGCTCTGGACCAGTGTGGTTCCTCTGAGGATAATAGATCGCTAACACTACCATTTTTTTCTGGGGATTTTCAAAAGGCTTAACGCAAAGAAGGAATTTTAATGGCTAATGGCTGAGTCCAAAAAAGTTATTTTCATAAAAGTCCAGTTCTTTTGACAGATTTATAATAGTGCTGTTTGGTCTAGAATGGCTTTTATTGTGGTTGTTGGCTACTGTCGAGTTGAGTTTTGACTCCTAGTGACCCCCTTGTGACAGAGTAGAACTGCTCTGGAGGGTTTTCTTGTCTGTGATCTTCTTGGAAGCATATGTTTAGGTTTTTCTCTCCTGGAGCTGCAGGGTGGGTTTGAACTGCCAACTTGGTGTAGTAGCCAAATGCTTGACTGTGTGCCTCATCCAGGAGCCTCACAAATCACCCCAGATAAGTCATTTCTTCCCTTTTGGGTAGGACTGGCATATAGATGGAGTCCTGGCATGACACTGTAGGTTAATATGCTGAACTGCAAAGTTGATTTGAACCACAGGGTCGGTAGTTCAAGCTCACCAGCCACTCCTTGGAAACACTGTACAGGGTCATTATGGGTTGAAACTGACTCGACGACACATAGCAACAACAACAACAACAGCATATAGATGGAATTCTGGTGTGGAGCCATAGGACAAGCACTCCATCTCAAGGTCAGTTTGAACCACAAGATTGATGGTTCAAACTCACCAGCTGCTCCTAGGAGTACTGGGTTGCTATGAGTTGGAACTGACTCAGTGGCATTTAATAGCAATATTAGCATATAGGTAGGTAGATGTCTAGATCCTGAGATTTAACTGAAATTAGTTTTGTTTGTTTATACAGTGGAACTCAGTATGAATGTAATGTGGATAATCTTAGTAGTATTAGGTAGAAAATGATGAAAGAATGCTATTCTGAATATGATTAGCAGTGTTGGTTCGTGTGAAGCCTACAGTCCTCTGGGTTGAAATATTAAAATATTTATTGACTATTGGTTTTTATTTTGGAACTTTTGAGATGCATAATACTGTGCTTTTAGTGTGGGGAGTGGTTTTTATTATTCCTGTGAACTGTATGAAGTAAATTCAGTTTAAATGATACTTTTGGCCAGAAAAAGAAATGACAAAACATAAGATATAAAAAGGAAATTACTCATTTCTAAACTTCTGGCATGTCAAGGATTTGGAAGTTGGTTAGCTTGGAATGAACAAAGTCACTATAACAAACCTGTTAGAGTGTATTACTAGAAATCTGATGCTGAATTTCTAGTGATTACCTGGTAAGACGCTGTAGGATCATCAGTGGCCTGTGAACCATAAGGTTGACATTTCAAACCCACCAGCTGCTCCTCGGAAACCCTGTTCAGGGTCACTGTGAGTTGAAACCAACTCAACGGCACTTAACAACAACAATAATTACGAAAATGTATTGAAGAGGATACATTTCCCTCAAGTAAGATGGACATATAAAAGCATCAGTTTATGCAGAAAGGCTAGATTACTTGGTATTACACAGTAATGGAGAGGAGAGATGGGGGAGTGACTCTTGGTGCTGATCCTCATGGGTAAGGTGGTATGTGACCAGGTGGGAAATCTGGGAAACAGGGAATATGTCTCACAGGTATCAAGTACAACGCTTCGTGAATGGCTGACATACAGTAAGATGCTTCTTCATGTATCAAAGAACAAAAGCCTCCTTGTGATTATTGTTGTTGTTAAGTGCCCCTGAGTCAGTTCTGACCCATAGCGACCCTGTGTAGAGTTTCTGAGGAGCGGCTGGTGAGCTTGAACCGCTGACCTTACTGTTCAAAGCAACTTTGCAATCCAGTCCATTCATCCACAGCACCATAGCAGGACTCTTTTGAGTAGTCTTATAAAATTACAGATTTTTCCAGAAATCTATTTAGCCCCCCCCAAATTTACTCTGAGCTCATTTAAATAATGGCATCTTCCTTGTCCTCCTAACTCTTGTAAGTCTGGATTCCTCATCTACAAGGAAATAGAAAACTAGCGTATATACTTTGAAAGCCTTTTCTGTTAGGTGTTGACTCCTTTCTTTCCCTTTGGTCATGCTGCATTTATTGTAGATCATTTACCCATTGCTGTTGGCCAGCCTCCTGGTTAGCCACAGATGGATGCTGTACAAACCAGGTGAACTGTGTTTTCCTTCATTGTGTGTGTTGTTGTTGTTAAGTGCTGTGGAGTAGGTTCCAATTCACAGCGACCCTGTACAGGGTTTTCGAGGTTGTAAGTCTGTACGGGAGCAGAACGCCTCATCTTTCTCCCGTGGAACTGCCGGTAGTTTAGAACTGCTGATCGTGAGATTAGCAGCTCGATTCGTCAACCACTGCACTACCAGAGCTCCTTATTGTGTGTGTAGGTTACTAAAACTCACTCACTCCCATTGAATTGATTCGGACTCAATGACCTGATTTGGGGTAGAGTAGAACTGCTCTCTGAGGCTGTAAATCTTTCAGAAACAGAAAGCCTCATCTTTCTCTCAAGGAGCAGTTGGTGAGTTTGAACTGCTGATCTTAATGTTTAGCAGCCCAATGTGTAACCCATTACCCACAAGGACCCCTATATAGGTCACTATAAATGAAGTGGATTTTAAAAAGGGAAGCAAAAATAAAGTATCTATAAGGAATAACATTTATTTAAAAAAATTGTTGTTATTGTTAGGTGCCATCGAGTCAGTTCCAACTCATAGTAGCCCTATGTACAACAGAACACAACTGGTCCTGTGCCAGCCTCACAATAATAAACAGTGAAACAAACAAAATCCACTACATTAAAAAAAAAAGATACATTGTGAGGTTCAAGATGATTAAGAGATGAAACACCATAAAAATATGGCCACCTCTCACAGTGATCACTATGAACTAGTAGTTTTCCTATTTCCAAAAAGGATGTGAAATGCTCCACAAAGGGCATTAGATTGAACCACGCACTTATCCTGGTAGGGAGTAATTGTAGCACTGTATAGCTTGCTGAGACCTATCAAGCTAATTATTTTAATTGTTGAAGCTTGGGATGTTTCAGAGGCGGGAACAAGAAAAATTGGCTACATTTGCTATTAGCTTAATGTCATACCACATATTGATCTTTAATAATTTTCAGTTTTGCCAATTAAAGTAAATTATTTTATATGAATTATAAAAATTAAAGTGGAGTCCTGGTGTGGTGCTGATCAGTTTGAACCACAAGGTTGGCGGTTCAAACCCACCAGCTGCTCCTTGGAAACCCATATAACCCATTTTTCACAAGGAGACCCATTTTTCACAATGTCCCAGTGGTGTTGAAATGTGAAGCCCTTTGCTTTTTTTTTTTTTTTTAACTGTTCCTTTTAGCTTATTCAGTTAGAACAATCCTGTAGGAATAATTTCCTTTTAAACTTTTCTTGGCTGCTTCTTTTGCTCTGCAGTGGGGAGAGGTCTGTTTGGGTTCAGTTGTTGAGTCTTGTGTTCCTGCTTGACCGAGAGTTGGCCAGTGCAGTCACACACCTTCTTTCTTCCTTGCTGTAATGGAAATAAGAAGGCTGGCCCAACTGTACCTCAGGGGACCACTTGCCATGGTCTCAGGGCACAGACACTTCTAGATCCTCTCTCAACTTGCCAGTATAAATCTGTGGTCTTTGTATTAACTGTTGGCGTCATTTGCTGCCAATTCTGGAGAGAAGCTTAGCCAGGACCAGCGTCTTCCATGCTTCCTACAGTTGTTCTAACTTTGCAGTGTGACTCTGCTTGATAACACTGTCTTTCAATTGCTGACCAAGGATCAAATAGTTTTCTGTGAGGTGCCGTCCAGTCAGCTCTAACTCAAAGTGACCCTCTCTGTACAACAGAACTGCCCTTTCCTGTGCCATACTCACAAGCGTCCACTGTCGCAGTCACTGTATCAATTCATCTCGTTGGGAATCTTCTTCTTTTTCAGTGACTGTGTATCTTAGCAAGCATGATATCCTCTCCAGGGAATGGTCCCTGCTGATAACATGTTCAAAGTACAAAAGACCAAGGATCTTCATTCTTGCTTCTAAGGAGCATTCTGGTTTTACTTCTTCCAAGACAAATTTGGTTGTTCTGCTTTCAGTTAGTATTCTTCAGCAACATTATAATTTAAGTGCATCAATTCTGCTTGGTCTTCCCTATTTGTTATCCAGCTTTTGCATGCGTATAAAATGATTGAAATACCATGGCTTGGGTCAGGCATACCTTAGTCCATACTTTACTCTACTTGTTACTACTTTGCAGATGCCTTTAGCAGCAGATTTGCTCACTGTAATGTGTAGTTTGATTTCTTGACTACTACTTTCATGGGTATTGATTGTGGATCCAAGTAAAATGAAATCCTTGACAACTTTAATTTTTTCTCCATTTACCATAATGCTGCTCAGCATACAGGGTGAATAAATATGGTAAAAGATACAACCCTGGCACACACCATTTTGGCACACACCCTTTCTGATTTTAAACCTGAAGAATCCCCTTGTTCTGTTTGAACGAACAACTGCCTCTTGGTCTGTGTACAGATTCTGCATGCGCACAATTAGGTGTTCTGAAATCTCCATTCTTTGCAAGTTTATTTATAATTTGTTGTAATTCTCATAGTGAATGCCTTTGCATAGTCAATAAAACACAAGTAACCATCTTTCTGGTGTTCTTTGTTTCAGTCAAGCTCCACCTGACATCAGCAATGGTAGCCCTCATTCCTTGTCCTTTTCTGAATTAGACTTTTGATGTTTCCTGTGTCATTCATTATTTTCTGAGTCAGAATGAATGAACAAGCCATAATGTAAAATCTCCTTATCAGGGTATCTTTCTAAAAACTATAAATTTTTACGACTCTGCAATAATTTAGTCAGAGGCATAATTGATTATTTCATTCATCTCAGTAGCTCTGGGATTTTATATTATAGCAATGATGAAATAATGAAAAAATTCTTTCTAACTAGTCTATTACATTTTGAGTTAATCAGTATTTTGGTTACATGTATCAAGACTAGGGAAAATATTGAATATTTCATAGCAAACAATCATTATTTGTATTTAATAAAAGTGCCTTTCAGAAGAGCATGTAGGAAAGAGTATGTGTGTTCAGACATAAAGCCTTTTGTACCATCATTTCCCCCATGAAAGCATTTCTGATTTTACGTATTTGTATACATCACATACGTACATAAAGACAGATACTTCCAATTAATTGCCCCATTAATGTTTCTCTTTCTCCTTTTTAAAACTAGGGCCTAATTGTTCAGATTTGAAGCAGCCTATGTACTTAGGATTTGAAAAAGATGTCTTTAAAACTATAGCTGATTACTACAGGCACTTGAAAGAGCCTCTGCTTACATTTCATCTTTTCGATGCTTTTGTCAGCGTACTAGGTAAGTTGTGGTGAAAATATATTTGTATTATTGATAATAAATCATTTCATTATCTTGCTACTTCCATTAAGCAAAGACCTTACTACTTTTGAAATAAAAACTAAAATGGTGAAACCATATTATGGATGAAACTCAAAGCAAAGGTCAGTAGTTTTTATTTCTTAAGAAAGAATACTGCGTTTTATTTCATTTTTGTACAAAGAAGTATGACTTTAGTGGTAAGGGACTAGGTAAATTTGACGTTTGTTGTTCATAATTAAATCTCTTCTGTATATAACTTTATGAATAGTCAAGTATGGAGGGTTTACTTTAATTTAGAAATCTAACGTTTTATAGAAGAAATAGGTTTTTGTAGAATTATTTGCTACTTAAGACTTGTAACATAAATATAGTAACTTTATCATTCCCTAAAACTTGTAACTGTTCTTCACAAAGATTTATATATCTGACTTTACACTATCAAGGAAACAGTAAAAAAGACAGAGAAGAAAAGTCATTATTATTGGCTTAGGTCTTTATGGGAAGCAGAAAGTTTCGAACTGCTGACCTTGCAGTTCACAGCCTGATTCGTAACCACTACAGTGATCCTGCATAGGGTTTCCGAGGCTGTAAATCTTGACAGGAGCAGAAAGCCTCATCTTTATCTGGTAGTTTTGAACTGTTGACTGTGAGATTAGCCGCCCGATTCGTAACCACTACGTAGCTACCAGAGCTTCTTATATGTAATCAAAACGTCAGTTTTAAAGACCAAATCATTGTGTGATAATCATATTTCATTATGTAAATTTGTATAAATGAGCATACATTTGCTTTGCCGTCTATCAAAACATGGTGGTTCAGTGGATTAAGCATTGGGCTGCTAACTGAAAGGTCCATGGTTCAAACCCATCAGCTGCTCTATGAGAGAAAGACGAGGCAGTCTGAGGCCACAATGATCCCCACCCTCGGAAACCCTGGGAGCAGTTCTGCTCTGTCCTGGAGAGTAGCTGTGAGTCGGAATGAACGACATGGTAGCGGGTTTGGTTTATTTTTTAGAGGGGCGGGGGTCTTCTGTCAAAATAATACTTTCCTCCCCTCCCCATTTTCTTTTCTGTCCTTTCTCATTGCCCCTATCTATCTTACTATTTTCTGTCTGGAAAAGTCTAGATAGTCCCATAGTATCCTCACAAAGTAAAGTACCTGTATTATGTGTAGATAAAGTGACACTGTAGGATCAGCACTGGAGTGTGTACCACAAGGTCAGCAGTTCAAACCTACCCGCTGCCTCCTGGAAACCCTATGCAGGCTTACTGTGAGTTGGAACTGACTCAACAGCACTTAGCAACAGCAATAGTCTCATAGCACAATATCACAGATTTTAGGATTTTGTAGTTCTCTGATAATAACCACAATAATAAAAAAAAAAGCATATAAACTATGTTCTTGTAGAGAACATAATTTATATTCTTCAAACAGATTAATTTTGAAACATATGAAAGGATTTGACCATTTGTTGGATTTTGACTCCACTGGCCAGCATTCTTGGTATTTTGTTTACAGTTGAAGGAATGGGAGCATCCTGAGAAACAGTGAACACTTGCTGTTTAGATCACATATGGACTAATTTATCAGATTCCAATTATAGCCATCTACTGGCGTGGCACTGTTGGATAAACAGTGGACTACTAAATACCAGGTTGGTGGTTCAAGCCTACCAGCCACTACTTGGAAACCTATGCAGTGTCATTATGAGCAGGAACTGACTTCATGGCATTAAACAACAACACCAACTACCATTATGGGAGCACTGTGACTCCACAGGCTAAACACTAGACTGTGAACCACAAGGTTGGTAGTTCGAGCCCACTAGCCACTTCATGGAAGAAAGTTGAGACTTTCTGCTCCTGCAAAGATTGAAAGCCTTGGCAACCCCATACAGGATCGCTGAGTCGGAACCAAGTTGGTAACAACAGCACAGCAAAAACTGAGTGTCTCCAGGGATTCCCTCACTTTGGATGTGCTGGCTACAAATTTGGAGTTTTTCAACTATCCCTTTAGCCATCTCACTTCTGACTTGTGGGCTCTCACCGCTCCCCTGGAGTTATTCACAGGAATGATTCACTTAAAACTTTATTATTATAAAAGATGCAAATCAGCATCAACATAAAGCAAGTTTGGTAGGGTTCACAGTGTGAAGATTCCATGTCCTCAAACAGGAATGTATTAACTTCCCACACCAATCACTGTCTTTCACTAGCCAGGATGCCCAAGGAGCTTCTATGTCCAGAGACCCCTACTCTAGACATTAGACAGGATGGATTGAATCACACCTACTTCCACCGCCCTCCCCCGTCAGCTATTTGAAGGCTGTTTGGTGTTTTCTGGCCTAGCCAATAAATGAGAGTCACTTCAGTAGCATAAAATCTCAGGTGTCATCATAAACAAAGGTAACAAAATTCCTAGGGTTTAATGATATCTATCTTTCAGGAACCAAGGACAAACACCCAGTTATATTGGATAAAGCTAAATTCTTTACCCCACAGCCACCTTCTAAAATATCATCTTCAGAGGGCTAAAGGTGGAGAGAGCTGAGTAGACGGGGAAATTATTGCAGCACTGTGGTTTAATGCAAGGTCGGTTTGAGTTGCAAGGTTGGCACTTCACACTCCCCTGATGCTCCTTGGAAACCGTGTACAGGGTTGCTGTGAGTTGGAACCGACTTGACAGCACTTAGCAACAACAACAAAAACAAGCATCAGTTAAGGATAGACTAGTGCACGTTGGATTATTACAGTCTATTAAGCATGCCAATCCAGTTCTTCTTAAGTGACTATATTTGAGACAATTTCCATCGACAACTTTTATTTTTATTTGGTAAGATCTTTATGTAGTGAAAGAAGTAAATGTTCCACATTAGAGAAGATCATAATTTTTTTATATGGCTAGCAAAGGTGATCTCATATAGCAATTTTATTATCTTCAGTGGGAAAAGATAAATATCAAGGTTGAGTAAACATGTAGGTTGAATCCTAGTAGGGTCATTGTTGTTGTTAAGTGCCATCAAATTGGTTCCAACTCATAGCAATCCTGAATAGGGTTTCCAAGGAATAGCTAGCTGGTGGGTTTGAATCATTGACCTGTGGTTAGCAATTCAGTGCTTATCCTATAACGTCACATCAGGACTACTGGCTTAAGCCATCTGACTTTCTTTGTTTTCATATCACCATTTGTTGTTGTTGTTGTTAGGTGCCATTGAGAGGGTTCCAACTCATAGTGACCCTGTCTTGGGCTTATGAGGAATGGCTGGTGAGTTTGAACTGCCAGCCTTGCAGTTAGCAGGTCAGTGCTTATCCTACAGGGTCACAGGAGGACTTGGCATATCACTATATAAAGTATTTAAATCAATCTAGTGGTTACGAGTTGGGCTGCTAATCTCAAGGTCAGCAGTTTGAAACTACCTACCGTTCGTGGGAGAAAGATGAGGCTTTCTGCTTCCATAAAGATTAACAGCCTCAGAAACCCTATTAAGGGTCACTGTGAGTCGGAACCAACTTCACAGCACAGAACCACCACCACCACATTGCTTAGAAACTAAAAATTTTACTTCATTTTTACTGGAATTGCTTTTCAGTTTGGTTAATGAACTTCTTTGGAGGTTTGTTTGCTTCTAGCATGGTTGAGTTTGTACCAAGGCTATGACCCTGAGAACAGTTAATTATTATAGATGCAGGAAAGAGTTATTAAGAAGTTTGGAGATGTAAAACTTTACATACAATTAAGTTCATTTTGATTTGTTTTAATTTGATTATGCCATCTGATCTAAATTGTTAGATCATTATAACTTATCTCTCCAAAGTGGCATTTTCTTGCAAGGGAGCTTCAAAAAGTTCATAGGAAAATCCCATAATCTTTGAGTTCCGGTTTGCCATAAACTTTTTCAAAAATTTTTTGTGTGAATTGGGTGAAGGTTTACAGAACAGAGTATCAGTTTTATATTTAGCAAATCATGCACTTTGTTTCATCTCATTGATTACAGTCCCTCAATATGTGTAAGGTTATATTGTTTCATGATACCTTTTCAATCTGTATGCTGAACAAATAACCCAAGAAGCTGGACTCCATGAAGAAGAATGCCAGGGTTAAAGGAAGGCTCATTAACAACCTACGAAATGCATATGACTGACACAGCCTTGCTTGCTGAAAACAAGGAGAATTTGAAGCCATTACTAATGAAGGTCAAAGACTACAGCCTTTTAGTGTGAATTACACTATAATATAAAGAAAACAAAAATTCTCACCAGACCAACTAGCAACACCATGATAAACAGAGAAAAGTTGTCAACAATTTTATTTTACTTGTACTCACAATCAGTGTCCCTGGAAGCAGTAGTCAGATCAGAGGATACATTGCATTGGACAAATCTGCTCAAAAGACTTCTTTAAAGTGTTAAAAAGTAAATATGTCAGTTTGAGGACTAAGGTGGGTGTGACTCAAGCCATGTATGTTCAGTTGCCTCATATGCATGCAAAAACTGGAAAATGAATAAGGAAGGCTTAAGAAGAATTGTTGTTGTTGTTGTTAAGTGCCATCGAGTCAGGTCCGACCCATAGCAACCCTGTTATAGGATTTCCAAGGAGCCACTAGTGAGCTTCAACCGCCGACATTGCGGTTCAAACAACTTTGAAGTCCAGTGCATTCATTCACAGCGCCACATTGATGCATTTGAATTGTGGTGCGGGTAAAGAATAGTGAATATTCCATGGACTGCCAAAAGAACAAACACATCTGTGTTGGAAGAAGGCTAGCCAGAATGCTCCTTAGAAGCTATGATGGTAAAATTTCATCTCACATACATTGTACATGTTACTAGGAGGGATCAGTCCCTGAAGAAGGACATTATGCATGGTAATGGAGAGGGTCAGCACAAACAGATGAAGACTCCCAATGAGATAGATTGACATGGTGACTGCAACAATGGGCTCAAACAGCAACAGTGCTGAGGGTGTTGCTGGATTCATCCTGTTATACCTAGGGTCCTTAGGAGTAGGAACCTAACAACAACAAAAACAAGATGTTTCATATAAATGTAGTCATACAGTATTTGTTTTTCTGTGTCCGACTTAGTTCACTCAGCATAATGTTTTCAGGATTCATTTATGTGGCAGCATGTATGAGACCTTAGTTGATTTTCTTTTTTGAATATTTATTGTGGCTTGGGTGAAGCTTTGCAGAGTAAGATTGTTTCCCATTCAGCAATTCATACTTGATTCTGCGATGTTAGCTGCAATCCCCTCAACATAACAGCACTTTTGCTCCTTTCTCTCTGTGTCTCATCATTTGTCTTTCGATTTGTTATAGTGTGGTGGCTTGTGTGTTGCTGTGATGCTAGAAGCTATGCCAGTGGTATTTTAAATACCAACAGGGTTATGCACGATGGACAGGTTTCAGCAGAGCTTCCAGACTGGGACAGACTAGGAAAAAAGAGAGGCTGAGTATTCTGAATAGTTAAGCACTGAAAACCTTCAGACTGCTAACCACTGGTCAGTGATTCATACCCAGCATCTAGTCCATGGGAGACAGATGAGGCTGTCTACTCATGTAAACATTTCCAGTCTCAGAAACCCTATGATAGATAGGCTTCTTACACGTCAGCATCAACTTGCTGGCAGGGGTGTGGTTTTGGTTTACTAGGCCCATTAAAGGAGCCCTGCTTGTATAGAGGGTTAAATGTTGAGCTGCTAGCTACAAGGTCAGTGGTTCAAGCCAGAGACTAAGTGGAACATAAAAATGTTGGATAGAGAGCAAATGAGTTGGTGGAACCATCATTACCTCATTGGAAGGCTTGGCTATGGGTGTGCCCAGGAGCAAATAGAATTAAAGAGAATACAATATTAAAATGCCCTTATTTTAGTAAAATTTTAACAGATGGTCGGTAACACAGAATCAGCACACTTAGCCAGGTGGATCTACTTTGCAGTGAAGTGACTATGGGAATTTTAGTTCTGTTTTGAAAACCTTGAGAGTCATGGATGATCATGAGGAAGATCATGAGGAAATAAGGAGGAGAGCAATGGCGTATGCATACTGCTGCTCACGCTGTCTTGGACCTGTTACTGAATAGAGAAGAACTGCCTTCGCCTGATTGTTCCTGTTCACTTAGAAAGAATCCTATGATATTCTAGTTATGTCTCTCAAGGATGTAGGTGGGAAAATGGCTGCATCTGTTCTAGATTCCTGGTTGATAGTTTGTATTTTCCATGCTGATTTTGTTTTGTTTTTTTAAAAATTTTACTGTTATTTTATATGCTGATTTCTAAAGGACAGAGCACCTATAATCAATTGGTCCAAATTAGTTTTATGTCATTTTAGTAGTAAATATTTCTGACAAATGTGAACATAGCAAATCCATATGTGTTTCAGTGGTGGTGGTGGTGCTGATGATGTGGTTTTAAAACACAAGCATTTTTTCTAAATCAGGCTTGTTACAGAAAGAGAAAATGGCTGTTGAAGCATTTCAAGTTTGCTGCCTCCTTTTACCACCTGAAAACAGAAGGAAGTTACAACTGTTGATGAGGATGATGGCACGGATCTGTTTAAACAAGGAAATGCCACCACTGTGTGAGGACTTTGGTACCC